GAGCAATTGGTTCTTCTTCCTTGAACAGCATCTTAAAAAAAGAACCCAATAAAATACACCCAAATCCTCCACTAGAAATAACTCGTTAACTTTTCTTCACAGGAAGTGTTCCTTTTACCTCTATCCCTACTTAGCACTGGTTTAAGCAGCAGTTAATTAACCAACTGCCGTAACAAAATCAAATGCAACTGCTCAGATCCAGTGGCACGTTGCTCCTCCACCATGCCAGGTGAGGAGAAAGGCCTAAGATTGAGAGGAAGTTCTCTCTGCAACTCTCATTACATTGCCATTTCAGTGCCGTTTGGAAAACACGACCTTTTTTATACAAGATTACAACGGCGCAAAGGGCTTTTTTTTTTTTTTTTCTTGCTCCCGTCGCGCTGACACAGTGCCATCTTGTGTCGCTACCGGATAATCGGTTGTGCTGAACTCCCAATACGCTCCGAATACTTTAGCGAGGATTGGAATAGGCAGATACAGGAACGTAGGTTTCTCTGCCTGTTGCCCTCCAAGGAAAGGAGAGGAGGAAGGAGCTTTCGTTGCTCGCGTTTGCCAATTCGAATTAGCAAGCGTGGGTTTGGAGGAGTCTTGTTAGAAGGGTGGGAAACTCAGCTTCGACTCTGCAAGAGTTTCAGCTTCAGCTCTTTGAGCCCCGCTAAATCTGCAATTCCGCTCACAGGCAAGCAATTTGGTACAAGCTAATGAAATAACCCCCTTTTTTTCCACAGACGTTTTGTGGGAAAATGAAATTGGAGCCCACATGGAAATACCTGACACCATTTAGGAAAAGCCAGCCTGGGTCAGAGTGTGTCACTCAGGCTGCAGGATACAAGTCAGGCAGCTCTAGTGGCATCAGAGACCACAGGTTGCTGAGCTTTCTTCTCCCACCCTGTTCTTCATCTTCCAGGCGATTTCCATGCCCAAATGATTCCCAGGAACAGGATAACATGACCAGGCTCAAGATGCAGAAGTTGGCCATCCCTGACTTTTCCCACAGCTTTGATGCATAACACAATGCTAGGAGAGGGGAAATCATGGATAGGCTAGGATAAATTCATTGATGCCTTGGAGGCTGAGAAACCTTGACCTGCGACAAAAAATTGTCTCTGTATTTCAGGACCAGTGATAGGTATTTGTGGGGATCTTGAATTTATTGGGGGGGGCAGTTGTTGATAGTCTGATGCTGCCTATGATAAAAGAAGGCTGAAAACTAGACCATGCAGAGGAGCATCTACACCATCTCCATCAGGCAGGGGTCTCAACTGGGAGCCAGATATGCATAGCACCTACTTTGGTAGCTGAACAGCTTGCAGGGATCAATCTTCTGCCACAAGCAGCAGAGAGGCCTGCATGAGCTGGTAGTGTGAATATCACTCCATAGTCTATTTGGGGACAAGGGTCTTCATACTCCAGAGTTCTTACCTGAGGTCTACTGCGTTAATACTTATCATGGTAGCAAAACCAAATGAAGTATCTTTGCCAGTTCACTTCATAGGAGACACTTCAACTGAACACCAAAAGCCTTTGTAATACAGTATTTATTAGCAGGGAATTCCCTGGTGCAAGGCAGAACCCATCTGTTCAGGGGAAAGATCAATAAAGCAAAGTGAAACAGGAGACAGGCAGAGAGTTACAAGCAGGAGGGTCTACAGGAGGCTCACAGGGTGAAGTTCTCCCACTACACCAAAACAGCATGATCTTCCCTTGCTGCCCCCAGCTATTGCAGCCACGACTTCCCTCCCCAATCTGTTACCTCTCCTATCCATCCCTGAGGTCTCCTGAGAGGAATCAGCTCTCTAAGCTGCTTTGGCACCCTCATTGCAGCTCCTCATGGTGCCACGTACAAGCTCAAACTCAGAGCCCTGCCGTCCTCCTACACATCCCAGCTGTCCTCTTCCTGTTTCATCCACAAAATGCTCCCCCAAATTCCTCTGATCCACATCTCATGTTTTCTTCACTGCTTCCAAGGACACGGACGCAGAAGGGCATGAAAGGATTTGGGGAAGCCACTGACCAAAGCAATTTATGAGCCACCACTGAAAAACACATAGCGCACATTCCAGTTGCATTTTCAGAAAGATCAGAGCCTAAACCTAAATATTTTCAGCACATCAGTTCTACCCACAGCAGAGAAGTTCTGGGGAACTTCCACCTCTTCCAGTGGTCATGCTTCAGGGAGGAGCATAAAGGACAAAGACTCAGTCTCACCACTTGTATTAAATGCTGACAAGAAAGCATGAGGAGCTTGATGAAGAGCTATATACAAAACCTGAAGTCTTCTGTGAAGGAAGAGAGAAAAGCAAGAACTATTGCTCTTACACATATTTAGGTGGCCATCTTAATCCTTTCATAAAAAATATTTTCCCCAAGATGAAATTCAAACAATTCTGTATTTCAGCAAATCACCTTAGACATGTTTAGCTGGACAGAAAGGAAGAAAAAAACACTTCTAATAAATGCAACATCAGAAATTTTATTTACAAATATACTGTAATTCAACAACCATTCTCCACTCAGTTTGTGGGGGGGAAACTGATAGTTACATTTTCCAAATGGGAAAAGAGAACTCTTCCCCTTAAATGGATTCCACAGAATATTATGCCAACACCACTGAGCAAACAGATTATTCTTGGTATTTAAGTTTCAAAAAAGCACATAATTTTAGAAACCAGCATATGGAAAGCAAACACATTTGTGTGCATTTAAATGCAGCTTCATATTAATCTAGAGAATTCACTTTCAGTATATGTCAAAAATAAAGACAGCAATTGCAAATATATATTTATATTAACTATTTCTCTAATGCTCATTTCAAGAGCTCAGAAACAAAATACCCTCTTCATATACCATTGGAAAGTCAACTAGTTGATTATAAGCCTCAAAAATATTTTGAAGTTATTACCGAAAATATACTTATTCTCCCTTGTGCTCTCAGTACTTGAAGCTGAAAAAGTGAAAGCATTTTCCCCAGGTATTTCCTTACTGCAATTACTTTCTTATAAATAAAAATAGATATATGAAGAATACAATGCATTGCTATGAAGACTAGACAAGCAAGGGTTACTCTTAGAAAAAACACACATACACACAATACATATATTTATAGATCTACATCAGCAGCAATCACCTCTTCTTTTATCTGCAACAGTGGTTTCATATCTTCATTTGCTTCACATGGAGGTTGGTTGTCCAGCTGTTAGAGACAGAAGAAATTGTAATCAAAGTCTAGCTACTGAAGAATCCTAGTGACAAAAATTAAAATTTCCAAGTTAAAAATTGCCAGATAACCATATTTCCAATACCTCTTGAAAATGGTAACACAAACTAAAGTATACATTCTGAATCTGGCAATCTAAGTTTAATGAACAATACAAATTTGAGTTTAATCCAATTATAGCACTGCAAGTATCTCAGGCCAAGTAATATCCCACAGAACATACACTTTATCAAGTTTTAAAGAATTATTTTTAGTATAAGCATAGAGACAGGGTGATAGGTTTTCTGAATTTACTCTTCATTATTAAATTTGCAAATTTAAACTGTAGCAACGTTAAAAAACTTTTATATCCTCTCTCTATATGGGCACATGCCAAGACACTGGTGTTTTGCTACGATACAAGTTTTAAACACAAAACTAACACTAAAATGTGCAAAAATATCACACCATAAAACGACACAGTAAATATTAACAATCCTACAGTTTATCAAATCTTTTAGCCAGTAGGTTCACGTTCCAAACTAAGAAATCATTAGCCAGGCTGATGTCAAATGCCAACTGCAAACAAAGTAATCTGCATTACAGACCTCTGCGTTGCTGTCAATATATTTTCATTGCAGTAATCACATAGCTGGTCTTTCTATTATTCAAATAGCTAATCTCAATTACTAATCACTAATTTCAATGCTTTATGCTCTACCTACAAATTCTTACAATTCCTGATTTACTCATGTCTCATACAATTATGTTCTGAGTTGCCCACTGGCCCAAGAAGATGCAGTCTGAAGGGAAGGGAATAGAACAGTTTCTCACAGATTGACTCTGCTTCTGAAAGGCACTGCTGTGACTTTATGGGCTGTAATGTCAAAGACAGACTAAATAGCAATTTATCCATTACAAAGTTGTTGCTTACTTCCATCACCAAATTGAATACTTTCTTGCCAGGAAATAATAAAAATCATGGGTTTTTTTTCAATACCAAACTTACACAACTCATCAAGCAATTTTGCCTGTTAAAAGAGAGAAGCAAAAGTAACATGAGCAAGCACCAGATTGAATCTCCCACACATTTGGGTGCTTCAAACAGGCACACAGTCACTTTGGTGTAGTCTCATTATCAACAAGGAGATACATTCTCCGAGCATTAACTTGGAGAGGTATGTCCCAGTGCTCTGGATCGCGTCCAGAGGGAAAGGGGCTGATTCTCTCTCTCCTTCCACTGATCACAGTGGCATCCCTGTGCCTAACATTAGCCTCGGCGGATGCACTGTTAGTGTCAAGGAGAGGTGTGATGTTTTCTGGCTTTAGCTCAGGCACCACACACTTATGTCTACAGTGCAGGCAGCTTTTCCTCTGCCTAGAAGCCAAAGGGAGCCTGGAAACAGCACCAGCATCAGATGCAAAGCTTTTCTTTTTCTGGGTTGGGCTTCTCAGCCAGCAGATGCCCAAGTCCTGCTAATGTGTTGTAGCATGAGCATCCTGGTCCCTTCACTGCCTTCTGGTCCACCATGAGAAAAACAGGTAGGGTTCATGGAGAAAAAAAGATACATTTCCCATTTAGAAACCCTTTCCTTTAGCTGAACTTTATCATTCTAAAGAATTCTTTATTTGCTACATAAAACCCAGCCATATAAAACTCCCAAGACTTGTCAAAATTAGGAGGTTGACTACCATCATCTATGATAGCAGAAAAACACCACCATTATTCAAAGCCTTAACATCATGCTCCAATAAATCAGAAATCTGCAAACCATAATAAAGGAAAAAAATTATACTGCACCTTTTAATTAAGATCTGTAAGTAAATCAATTCCTCCTGAACTTGTACCTAAGTGAATAACCAATCACAGACCTATAATTCAAATAATAGCATCGCGAAAAGAAACCAGCATTTGTGCCACCTGCACAGGATAAACTAATAGCTTTCGAGGTATGCATTAGGATTGAACTAAACACATATTCAGATTACTTTTTTAAAAAATGTAGACAATTTTTCAAAAAGACTTCTCTGTCATCAAAATAAGCTTGTTCAGCAACTGACAACTCTTTTCTCAGATCTATGAAGAAAGCAGGATGACTATACCGCATTGCTGCTTTGAAGTTGCTTAATAAGAAGGTGGTAAAATCAGCTACCAGCAAGTTAAAAGTTAGGAATGACTACCCTACAAAAGACAGGAACTGGCAATCAAACTTGCTGAACCTTTTCGCTAATATACCAACTTAAAGCTAAATGTGAAAGCTATCGAGTGGCTCAGCTGCGCAAACACTCAAGGCTGTACAGCACAGAGAAGAACTACGGTCATGCACACTGCAGTCAGATTGCCTTACTTTTAAATCTGATATAGCAGTCGTTGCAGAAGAGTTTGTTGTTTCGGATCCTAACTTCAGCTCCTGAGCGGGATCCTCCAAGGTCGCATCCACAGGCAACGCACTGTATGATACATGAATAATTAGTGACTCCTTACAAAACATTAAGAAACAAAAAACACTGTTCAAAAGCAGCTCGGATTAAGCTCAACAAAGCTTGAACCATAAACCCACAATCACTAGAAGCAAATGTATAACGATTAGTAGATCAAAACGCAACCAACCCTGACAAGTATTTTAAGGTGACGACTGGACAATAAATAGCAGAGATATATCAACTAAGCAAACATAGAGCAGACAAGTTTTAGAGATTAGTTTATTAAATCTAATTTAAACTTCAGTTTTTCTGAAAACTAAAATAGGCTCGACACGGAAAAAAATTTGTTCTCTAGACGGCAACAGCAGTTTTGGCACAGAACACCTGGGCGTGCTACTTGCAGATTTCCATGCGGCACTACAGGCTGCTGGCGTCCTTGGCCCTTTGGCACTCCAAGCAGCAAATACTCAGGCACCCCCAATTTCCTGGGTCTGCACCATAGAAACAAGCTCTTATTTGGACAGAAACGGATTATTTCATTTTTCTTGAATAAGCACATAAATACAGGGCTTGAAAGCTTTCATGCTAACATTAAACTATTTAACTATGGTGGCTGAACACATCTTTGCTAGGAGAATATTAACCACCTCTAGAAGGACTGTAACCCAAAGCGTAACATTCTCCCTTCTGAATTTCTGAAGCAAAGTACTGGGCTGTCTAGAGAGGGACAGAGAGCTTGCCTGTTCAAACGAGTAATGAATCTTTTGGATACCAGTTTGTTCAATAGCTCATTAATCTTCAGAAATTTGAAAAACACAAATCTAGTATTTTCTTATGTAGGTTAGGACCTACAGGTAGACTTCCTCGCAGAGAACACGAAGTTGTTGGAGTGAGTCCAGAGGAGGGCCATGAAGATGATCCGAGGGCTGGAGCACCTCTCCTGTGAAGACAGGCTGAGAGAGTTGGGGCTGTTCAGCCTGGAGAAGAGAAGGCTCCAGGGTGATCTTATAGCAGCCTTCCAGTACTTAAAGGGGGCCTACAGGAAAGCTGGAAAGGGACTTCTTACAACGGCATGTAGTGATAGGACAAGGGGCAATGGCTTTAAACCGAAAGAGGGGAGATTTAGTTAGATCTAAGGAAGAAATTCCTCACTCTGAGGATGGTGAAGCACTGGAATAGGTTGCCCAGAGAAGTTGTAGATGCCCCATCCCTGGAAGCGTTCAAGGCCAGGGTGGATGAGGCTTTGAGCAACCTGGTGTAGTGGAGGGTGTCCCTGCCCATGGCAGGGGGGTTGGAACTAGATCATCTTTAAGGTGCCTTCCAACCCAAATCATTCTATGATTCTGTGGTTCTGTTCTGATTCTGCAGAAAGGGAGTGATGACCAGTTCGGATGGATTACTCCATCCAGGCAGGTAGGACGACGAAGAGCTTTGAACCAATCCCGTCTAGTACTCTAGCTGACACATTTGAGCTGGGCACAGAGGGAAGCTGAGGGTTCTGTTCTGAACCAGACCAGAAGTCTTTCTTAAAGCCGTGGAAGAAACAGGGTCTAAGAGCACCTCCAAATCAGTCTAATTCCTCATCTAGTCCTAGGGTGGCACAACTAGGAGTGCTTTTACATCTTTTGCAGGCAGGTATTTATTCTTTGCAGCTCTGCATATACCTCAGGCTGACTGGAAATCATGTAACTATGTCTCAGTGCTGAGCATGAGCTAATATACCTTGTTCCTCACCAGGGCTGAGTAGCACTACACACAGCTTCTGGCTTGGTGCTGGGTTTTATCCTGCCAGGTTGAACGCTGCCAACCATGCCTTTGCCTGGAAAACACCATGGGAACACTGTCTCCTAGGATTAGCTTAGAAGTGATGGGTCATCTCAAATCATTCAAATGCCAGGGTGCAGGCTGAGATATTTTTACTTCATTTTATTTTTTGTTTGGTTGTTTTTTTATGGACCTGATTTCTCTGGGAAAGGCGGCTCAGTATTTTCTGATTTTTTAACTTTCTATTCAAAGAAGGAAAAACTTTGATCTCCCAGTCAACATGTCCATTTTACTTGTCAAGAGTCCTACTTGTCAGCTCTGGTGTTTACAAAATAGTCCTAGAGTTGAGAGCTAAATGGCTGCAGATAAGATTGCCTCATGGAAATCTGCATGCACCACGTGCTGTCAAGAGTAGAAGGCAAAGCAGGTGATTAGTAGAGCCCCTGTGAGCATAACACTGAGTAGCCATGCGTGCTCCTGATTAGTTCCTGTTCCTTCACGATGTGACTCCCAGCTCTCACCTTAAAGCAATGTAAATGATAACAAAGACCAAGAGACTCAATGATCATGGCTGCTCCTTTGCCCAGAACGTTATTACAGTATGAACAGATTTTCTTCCCACTGACTGACCTAGATACAGAACGAAAATCCTTAAAACCAGCTTGAAAAAAATTAAAAGACAAAGAAAAGTTATCAAGGACTTTTTTTGAGATTAGAAATAAAAACATACCGGCAAAAAGTGGACTATTAGGCTGCTCAAGCAAAATAAACTGAAAATTAATATTATTTACAGCAGATCTGAAAGTTAGGGAAAGCTGAAGTGTTATAATTTAGATCAAAGTTACACAGGAACAAATGAAGTTTTGTCACACTCTTGGGAGATATTTCATTATATAAAACACCTTCTACAAATAAACATTAAAGGTATATTGTTAAGTATGGAGAGTAAGAACATTGGGTTTGTGATCCTGCCGTATTTCTCATGTGCAGGGAATTATCCTAAAGGCTACGTTTTAGCAAACAAACCTGCCAAGTCCCACCATCTGCATCTTGTTAGATGACAGAAGGCTAGTCCTGGACATATAATGTTATGTTAACTCTTTGAACATAAGCCATACAGAGGTCAGTTTCCATAGATCTACCAAAATGTAAGCAAATGGAAGTGAGAACAAGATAAGCAAACATGGTTAAGAAGGTCATTTTCTTACATTATAAAGAATCTAAGAGCCTAGCTTTGAGAAAAAAAGTCAATTTATCACAAAGTGCCTGAGCGTGTAAGAGCTAGTGAAGTGGTGTTCACACTGTTGTTATATATAATGCATGTAATCGTGTGGGAATGATTCTCTATAGTCTTGTCCCAAGGTATTTTTAAAAATGTTTCAAGTACATAAAACCACAGAGTTATCTACCCTACCACAACTAAATTCCATTTTGTTTCAAAATATGTTGCAATTCTTGCTTTCTCCTCCTAGAGTAAAATCAACATCCTACTCCGTAATTCTCCAGGGTCAGGGGTTATGAGCATTCCTGAGTGATCTTGAGATGACATTGACCACATGCCAGGAAGGGGGAGGAGAGACCAAGACAAGGGCCATAAAGCGTGGATTTCAGGAATCTTTGTTAAAACAAACCTAAGAAAATAAATGTCAAAAATCTGGAGTGGGCTTTTACTAATCGTTTTGGTAACCAACACACAGCTTGGAGACTGGAGATTTATTAATCCAATTCCTTTGTTTTTTTAACCAATGTCAAGTAGTGATGACAAACCTGGGGAAATTTTCTGAATGACTGGAGCAGGGAGGTAATACCAGCCTGTATTTCCACTGTCCCACCCAGCCAGAAAACTTCAGGTACTCTTCAGACTTGTTAATCAATGTTATGGGTGAGAACACTTCTGTAGACCACCGTATCTACAAAGTCCGCTCTTTTGCACAGCCTGACATTGATTATCTTCCCAGCAGAAGGGCACCTGCTCACCTGCTGCGTGTCTGGGAACCTGGCTGGGAAGCAGAGAGGGGAGACTGAGCCCGGGAGGCTGCCTGGGACACGGAGGGGGCTCTCGCAGAGGTGGCCACAGGAGGTGCTTTGCTAGAGGAGGGAGTGCACATGTATGCTCGGTTTGAAGTGGACACTGGGCGACTGAAGTCTTGACTAGAGGACAAAGATGAAGAGGAGGCAGTCTGGTTCAGCCACGAGTGGTGCCTCCATGAGCTCGTTCTTGAAGAATCAAGATTGTCCAAAGACTCCCCCCTGTAACAGAGGTACACATACAAGTGTGAACGGCAGCACGGCTGGAGCAGAAGAGCTATACTCTGATTTTTTTTTAAAAAAGAAATTATTTTCCTAGCATTTTTAAGGTTTTTCTAGCATGAAAATGCTTGTATGATCACCCTGAGCAATATTCTTCACATACTGATTTAAAATGATTGAGCCACGAATTACCCTTTGTGCGCAGTCCTGGTCTCATGGGAAAAAGCAGGCGAGGTGGCACTTAACCACTACAGAATAAAGGCAAAACACTCTTCACTGCAGCCTTATCAGGGTGAACCATATCAAAATCCACTGTACAGCAACGGACCTCAGATACCAAGTTTGTTTTTGTTTTCTCCAAGGGATACCAGATTGAAATAACAATCCACCCAGACTGGACAGCATCATCTAGGTACAAGGTGTTGGCCCAATAGTCAAACACTCTCCTGATTGATAACTCAGCTGTTTCCCCTAAGTGACAAATCCACATTCATACATAAAGCAAGAGACAAACTCTAGACTTTCTGACATATTTCTGTGTGAAAAAAGGTATACCCCCTAGCCATAATAATCAATTTCCACAACAAATTGTCATGCTGAAATTCTTAAGCACTTCTGTCAATGACAAGGCACACTTATTGATTTCCACTGCTGGTACACTGACCAAGAAATAGTTAGTTGAGTTATTTACAGGTCACATCCACGTTCTTTATTTAAAAAAAAAAAATAAATGTTTAATCCCAGCTGTAAGACTGCTACTTTCTCCTATGAGTGCCACCATTCAGTTTACCTTACAACATGTCATGGACTCGATTTGCTTCTGTGCTCTGTAACACAAGCTGAAGTTTAGAATAACCAAACAAAAATATTTGATGAGAGACACAGTTAATTTTTAACACGATTCCTACCTCCTCATACTATTGCTGTACAGACTAACAGGCTCCTTATGTATACTGGAACTGCGTTGCCTAATCCAGCTGCTGTCCGTGTGCAGAGATGTTTTCTTTCTCATTTCCTGAAGGATTTGCTGTCTTTCCAACTCTGCCGCAGACAGGCTGTGCTCCTTCTGAGACTTCTTCTGCGAGTCACCTGTGTTCCAGGATCTCTCTGAATGCTTGCTCTGGGTACCTGTTTGGATAACACGCACAAACTTCAGCTAGGCACCTTCAGGCACAAAAGCATTTGTCACACATTCAGTACTCTGCCTATAGCTCCAAAAGTAGTCATTCCTCATCACATTCACAAGTTTCTCCAGTTCCTTTTCACAGTGGGGTGATCAGTATCAAATTTGGCAGTACACTATTATTATTACAAAACATTTTACTCATATTTCCATTAATGTATCCTTTTATATGATGTTTAATATATTTACAAATAGTTATTTCCTTCACTTCCCAAGTGCGTCTGTGTATACATATATATATATACACACACACACACTTATGTATACATGTATATACACCCCTACCCACGTATTTTTAAAATGGCATTATCTCTTTTAGCATCAGAAGTTGGGACTCTTCCTCCAATACAAACTGAAGCATGTATAGAATATATAGTTGAAAGGTGGGATATCTCTTTCCTTTAGGAGTTTATAATACTCTCTTTTTCTATAAGTTGTCCTTGTTTTCAAGAATTCTCTCCTTATTCAAGGCACTAAACACATTGCTTTATCTTCATTTATATAAATATATACGTGTGTGTGTATTATGTTACAGAGTCTTTCTCTGTTATTTGTATGTTAACCAGCCCATTGAAAAGTCATTTATGGTACAGAAGACCTTTGAAATTTGGGAAGGGGAAGTAAACAAGTCATGTTTCTCCAATATGTGTTACCATGTTAGAAGGCAACAATTTTTTATTTCCTAGATTCAGTAACTATTCTTTATAATAAGACTGATTAAGAAAATGACTCAGTAATCAGTCATTCAATTGAAATTTCAATCCTTTTAAATACTGCACTAACTACAGATTTACTCTTGGTTTTATCACTATAGATTACCATTACAAAATATTGTGGAAGTTTACTCGCTCATTAGTTTCAATGACCAAGCTTTAGTGTGTGAAAGCGATGTTGCCAATCTGCAATATTTCCTCTAATACACTATTTACTTTTCTATGATTACGTGTGATTGCTTTTTTTTAACCATGTTTCAGACACAGGAATAGCTTTTGGACATTTTCTACTGTAACATGTTTATAACTCTGGGCTGGTTTGCTTTGTTTGCCTTATATACTTTTCTCTACAAAAAGCAGTAACATAACTAAAGGACAACTCAAGAAAGTCAGCAACGAAGTAAAGTCCAGGAGACAAGCCACTGTGACAGTATCAAGAACTAGCTTCTAGCTGTGTTATTCCTACAGTAATAAAAGTTGTATTAAATACATTATCACTGTGGTATGTGGAGCTTTTTTTATTGATGGAGTCATCATATCAAGAGCACATACATCTTCGATGATATACCTACACGATTGGTTTAATCTGATATAAATATCAGTCATCTAAAATTCAGGCATCTAAGATCTGTTGGTAGTCACTGCTACGGCACTCCAAGAGGACAGTTAATCATATTCGTCCTAGGCTTATACGGTACTGTATGAACTTCCTGTTGCTGTTAAAACCTCATTAAATTGTGGCATGGTATTAATTTGAATTACAATGCAGCTACCAAAAGGAACTTTGGGAATTATTTTTTTTAGGATGACTGTCCAATACACCTTTAAAAAAATAAATTAAAAATAACAGAAATTAAACCATATTTACCATTTCTGATTGTGTTGAATTCATTCAGTTCTGAAGTTGACTTGGACTTATTCCTGAGGATATAGAAAACATTCATTTCTATATCTCAACTAGGAGACTTTGTTGAGGACAAAGACCTTATCATCGCAGACCACAGATACACAGCCCATTTTTTCACCATCCCTCCCGTCAATTACTTATGCTGCACTTAAAACAAGAGGCAACAATACTCAAACAAAGACCAACAGGATATTAACAGGGAAAAAAAAAATGTAAATAGTTAGATATCAATAGATAATCACTGATTAAAATTTAAAATTGTATATTGAAAGTTCCCAGTCCTTCAGGTGTAAGGAACTGATCATTGTATTTGCTTCAACAAAAACACGTGAAAAAGTCCTTCAAAAAGTGGAAGCTTAGTGAAGACTACACAGACAATCAAAGAACTGATAACTTTCAAAGCAGGTTTATAAATTATTTAACTTCATGAGAAACTTAAATCATACTTCAGCACTGTTATTATACCATAAGCAAAACACCTCCTCAAACACTGCATGCAGACTGTTCTTGGGAAATTTATTATTCACTTATAACACCCAGCAGCATATTTTTTTAATGAGTTTTAGCCAAGAAATGTTATTCAATATACAGGAAGACAAATGGCAAAAAGCTGGGTTTCTGACAGTACAGAGCAGGAGCTTCAGCAACACCTCTATGCTGTATTACTAGTCTCAAATAACACAGCCAGTTTTTTAGTTTAAAATACTTCGGAAAAGAACAGAAATCCTTTGCTGGGTCAGAACTTCAAGCTCTACAGCAGTGTATTTACACATACAGCACTGACTACATAACAGCATTTTGAGGGAGTCTTGTCCTTTGTCTATAGATAAATGATAAATAAACTGTGTCATGCTTCTTGCTCCCCCAAGTTCTGATTATCTGTCCTATGGTATGGACCTATTTTATTATCTGTTTCAGAAGATGCAACAAATTCACAGTTGCTTGTAGTGAAATGGAGCTCCAAAGAGCAGGTCTTGCTTGACCTGCCTGAGATGCTTTTAGCACCCAAGTATTTTCTCACATATACACAAGATGTAACTATTTAGTGCAGGCACCTTCTGAAGTTAGATTTAGATCTTACAGGTAACGGATCCATTAGTTGTACCCTGTTCCTCTTAATATTAAAAAAAGACATGCTCACTTCAACTACAAGAACTGGCTAAATATGCAGCAGAGGTGATCCTTCAGAATTAGTGTGAGATGCCATCTAAGACAAAGGCATGATACAAGTGTTTTGGATTTAGGTCACTTCAGCATTTTTTTTAACCACAGTCCAGTAATTAAAAGGGAGATTTATTCAAAGAGCTCAAATCTGCAGTGGCTAATATATTGTATAGAAATAAAAACGAAACAAAACCAAAAAAACAACAGTAAAACCCCCCAAAAAAACATCATGCAAAACGAAACAGAAAATAATCAAGGTTAGAGAGTGTAACTTTACAGGTGGGACATCTACTATCTTCCTGACAATTACGCTGCTACCTCTCACTTCCCTCCTTGTTTGCTCTCTCTCTCAAGTTTCACAATCCTGATTGGGATGACTGCACCTTAGTTTGTATAGCACGTTATGACACAACCACAATATTATCTCAAATTGTTTTCCAGCCAGATAAGTCTAGTACCACCCACATATTCACTTCCTTATAGTGCTGCTTCTCCCAGTAAAATCCTACTGACTGACTAAATGTTGTTTACAGCACAGCATATAAATTGCCAAAAGTTTGGCTTGCTTGTTTTCTCAATATGAAAACATGCCATAAAAACTGCAAAACACAGCAGCAATACAAAGTATACACTTAGCTGCCATGCCTAATGTTTATTGGAAGTTTCAAGGCCAACAATGGAATGGTGATGTTACAATCTATGCTGAGATTCATATCACGCATACCTGTCAGCAAGTGACTGACCAGGTTGATTCTCGATGGTTTTAGAAACTTCATAACGCTCATAGTGTCTATAAAAAAAGAAAAATAAAACACCAAAACCATTATGTTCATATACAGAAAAAAAGATATATATACACATAAATATTTCCTGCTAAAAATATTTTTAAAAATTCTTAAGGTAAAAAAAGGGAAAAAACCCAAACAGTTAAAGTTCTAAGGAGGCTTAATTTTATCAGTCAGAAACACAACTAACAAAAGAAGGCAGAAAAAGAAAAGTTGTTAGAAAAACTACCTGAAATTATTAATTCAATTTCTCATTACCTGTCAATGAGAGGCTGGCCAGCTCTATCCTCTATTGTTTTAGATACTTCATAGCCCTCATAATGTCTAGAAGCAAAATACAGATAAAAGAAAATACATGTTAAACAAAAAAAAACATTTTCTAGAAATAAAGCAAACAGTAAGTACACATAGAGAAAATTGAGAAAGTCCAGATGTGTGTGTTAGACACATGAAAATACATGAGATGAAAAACCCAAAGACTTTTTAAGATGCTGCAAATATTATAAGTATCAGGATATGACATTGATTTGTATATGACATTGATCAGTATATGACATCCGTTTCAAAGCCAGGAGGGTAAGCTTTGTTCAAACATAGCAATTCTCTGAAAGTTACATGTATATTCTAGAAAATTACATAGGTGCAGTTTGTAACTCAGAGAAACACTCGCTAAATTCCACAGACCAAGCTCTTCCAGCTGTCTGTCCCCAACCTCAGAGCTCTTTGCAGCAACTATCATGCCTTCACAGATGTTCATATAACATTTCAGATTTCAATTCGTATCATCGTAAAACTAATATGTAACACCAGATATTTTAAACCCTAGTTTCACTGAACTCGCTCCTTCACTATTAAGCAAAGCCACCCACCCTTGTTTAGCAAAACACATCCTCTAGCAGCAAAGTCAGAAGGAATGAAATCCCCTGGGACTAAAGCATGTATCAAGGATTTACATGTGCAGATATTACAGCAGCTTAATAAATTACCGCACAAAGTCCTACCACCGTGCAACTGGGGCAAGCTAAAACAGTAGAGACACCCTGCTCAGCTGCCAAGAAGAACCTGTTTAGCCATTTTAGCAACTGTGCCTCTGCTTTGCTCAGCAGGGATCTCGAGCAGCAGTCATTTACAATGAGCTAAAGTAACTTCAGGTCTCACAATCTCTCCTGCAAATATATGCAATTTTCTAATCATGTTTTCTTCTCCTAAGATTTAACTTGATATCGTGTTATCCTCAGTCATCTCTTACTACTTACACAAGAATAGGGGAAAATTCTCAAGAGAAACAGCAAAGCTAGTCACACACAAGGCAGTAAGCTAAATGCCTAAGAAATAAGTAAAAGTTACTGGTTTAATATGTTTCAGTTAGTTTAATCTCCCATGATGCCTGTAATAGCAGTCTGAAAACTCCTGGGCAAAAATATGCACTTGTAAACTAATAGTTGAGTGGGGATTTTTTTTGTGTGTGTTTTTTTGTGAGTTTGGTTTTGGTTTGTTTGTTGCTGGTGGGGTGTTTTTTTTTGGGGGGTGGGGTTTTTTGGGGCAGTTGGCTGGTTGGTTAGGGTTTTTTGTTTGTTTGTTTTTCATTTTGGTTTTGCTTTAACAAGCTGCTGAAGAAGGTAATGCAAGAAACTTTTTTCATGCACTAGAATAAATATGTCCACACTGGGTATTTCTAACAGGCTATGATATCTAAGGCAGTATCTGTTCACTCATATACCATGATACCCTTAATTGACACGTTAACCCAGCAGTGCGATTAAACTTCATTGTTGCGCTGTCGGACTTGACAGAGAGGAGTCTGGAAAAATCAGTCAGGCATTTGTTGGAAAAAAGTTAACTTGGTATTTCTTCCGAAAGCACTGTCTGTTGAGCCACTGGCTCTCAATTTACAAGCTTACACAGTGTTTTTACAGAATCTTCACACTAAGTGCTTCAGATCATCTTTGATTAGGCTATAATCACTGTATTTATACATCCTATTTAAAAAATGAGTAGAAGTGTGTTAACAGAGCACTTGATTCATGGTGAAAGACTTTGGCTTATGCCTGATTCTTCTGCCTTTCAAAAGAAAGGCTACGCTGTGTTATCTTGCACTGACTGTTTATAATATGAATCTTGCAATAATACACTTATATATTCAGGACATACACGTCCAAAGGGAGTGCGTATCTGAATTTTTAGACGCAGAAGGAAGAGAGAGTACATCCCATCACAAGTGCACACCTTTGGTACCGAGGCATCTCCGCTGACGCCTCCCTCTGCCTTTCAGCCTGCTGCCTCTGCTCCTCCATCTCTGCCCGCCGCACCTGCTCCTCAGCGTATCGCTGTTCCCTCTCTTTACGTTGTCTCTCAAGCTCCAGCTCTTGGAGTTCCCTTTCTTGCTCAAAACGCAGAGCTGCCTCTTCCTGGATCCTCCGTTCCTCCTGAAGCTTCCTCCTTTCTTCTTCCTCACCCAGCAAGCGCGCCGCTGGCTCGCTTTCTCCGTCTCCTTCTGGCTCCTCAGCAGTATTCCCTTCAGGGCTTGCCCTCCAGCTGGACACAGATGGAGCCCGTGCAGGGACAGACATTGTGTTTAAGGTTAGAACAGTCTGCTCCTGTAGCAAAGAAAAAAAAAAAAAAATCTTTTCTTTTAGACAAGGGAGATGTTTTTCGAACAGGTTGCTCACTCAGAGAAAAAAAAAAAAGTTACTTTCTTCTATGAGGCAAGACTGTGCAAAAAGCATCCCAAACACTTTCAATGCAAGACCCAGGGCGTATTTTGGTTTCATGTTTTGAGTGCCTGCTAGCACACTCTCCTAATGCAAGAGCTTCATTCCACACGGCAGCCTTAGCGAGTGCCACAGGCAGTGTGGCCACAACTATGTGAAACATTCTGCTTTCTCAAGTATCACTTACATTTCAAGCCATCCCATCCCCACTTGAATACCTACAGAAAACAAACTCTTCCATGACACCCAGCATTTCTCCCTACTGTTTTGACTTAGAAACCTGAGACCCACCTAAAGGCGTATACACAAAGGTACACGCTGCAAGCATGTATCAGATCAATGAATTTCGCATGAATTCTCATGTGGAGAAAACCCCCACCCTCCTCCATTCTCCTCCCATTTGAAAGTCAAGCCTCAGACCCGTCTCTCTGACTTTCCTCTCAAACATGAGAAAAGGTCTTTCAGTGGTCAAAAGATGTTTCAGTTGCAGAGAACAAATACTGTTTACAGGTCCATCCAAACCTCTACTGATTGAAAAAAAATAAAGAAATGGTTTACATTCTTGTACAGTAAAGTCCTCTAACAGCTTAAAGAGCTTTCTTATTGAAGTCCTAAGCCTTAAATTACAGCCTACTTATTCTTGACTGTATAAACACAACTGATCTAGCTACGATGCCTGAAGCAGCACTCATATAGCAATAAAGAAGAGGTATCTCAAACACCGCCCACACCCAGGAAAAAACCTGTTCATCTTCCCATAAGCAATAGCCACAAAACTCAGCATCTACAGAAATTACATGCATTCAGTATTTTGAAACACATGATAACAAATCTGAAGTTGGTTTGATATGTAAATTTATCAGAGAGAGAATGAACTGGTTGCCAGTAACAAGCCAGGCACTTACGAACGTGCCTCATGATGAAGTATTGAAGCAGAATCCCACCAAGTAGCATAAGGCGGTAAATATACAGCAAAGGTGACCGTTTCATTCTGGTCACAATAATTAATACATGCTGCAACTTTTTGCCAGCATATTTCTGGTGTTAGTTAACCTAACCAATCCATGAAGAAAAAAAAAGTCAAATTCAACAGGTCTCAAAACACCTCATTTATTTTTTCCTTCCCATTTTTGCAACTTCTTTCTACCACAGTCATAGACAACAGTTTATTTTCCAAATGAGAAGATAAATGACACTGTAAAATAAGTTATTTGCATGCTTGCATGCATCTACTCCAAGGGAAAAAAGCCATCATGAAACTAAATAGTCAAAGGCGAAGCCATATTCATAGCTTACCTCATCAAAATACTTGGAGCTCTCTTTTTCTGCTTCTTGCTTAGCTCGTAGCCATTCTTCTCTCAGTTTTTCTTGTTCCCGTTTGTACTTTTCCTGTTAGGTTAGATTGAAGTTAAAGACATAAATAAGAAAGTGTTTTTTATTTGCGTTAAAATGTACTACTGGTATTTTATGTGTTTTTTAAGAGACCAGTGTGGTAAAAACATGCTTGAGCTCCACTAGGACATTAGGTCTGCCACGAGTGAATGAAATTCTGTCTCAAATAAAATCCAAAGGAGTTCTGCAGTTAATTTTGGAGAATCCAAGCTTCTTACACGCTAAGTCTCATAACAACTGACCTCACATCTGTTACATTCCCCATTTTACAGTTTAGAGACTATTTAAACAAAAATCAGCAATCTATCTAAGGTACTTCTTGGAAGATGGAATGATTATATTTAACTTGGAATTTGACACATTAATATGGTAAATATAAAGTGATCACTAAGCGAAATATGAGGCAGTAATTTGGTTTGAGCAAGGACTCTTGGTCTTTTGGAATGTTATCTAAACAAAAACCAATTTCTGGACCTACAAATTTGTCCTATGACTAGATTTGGTATGAAATCAATGTAATGTCTTAAAGCATTACTCAAGATACACAATAAACGTTTTGGTGGTTTTGTCAGTCACCACTGACAACTTGGGAAAAGCAAAACATTTAACGATGTCAAAAATATTCCTTCTAAGATGTTGGAAATAAGCAAATAGAGACTTTGCTTCCTTTCTCTGTTATTTGAAAATTCATTATTAGGATCATGAGGAAGAGAAAGAATGTTATTACTCTGGCCAAATTTACTAATTCAGTAGTAAAAATGAGAAGTAAAGCAAAGCAAAGTGATAGCAGAGGGCTGAGATTGCTCTCAAGAAAGTGGAATCAAGGTTTACATTCTTTAAAGCCATTTCTTCAGGCATCAAATGGAGCATCCAAATCATAACAGACACCACAAATATGTTTAGGAAGGCACAGCTCTTGTATTGCAAAGTTTGTAAGCTAAAAGGAACGACAAAAGATAAAACATCCAAAAAGCAACAGGCTCACTAAGCTGTACTTTGACATTTACAGTTTTCTGCTGAATGCACCAAACTTATTAAGAGGGCTTGTGCAGAGTAAACGATGTTCACTGTTGCGTCTCCAAGCCAACAGACCTCAGATAACTAACTTGAATTTAATTATAGAGATGTGGCTTACTAAATGCGGTTGAATGGGCTTATGCTTCATTGAGCTGAGGTCTTTGCAGAGATGCGTGCTTGTTTACTGTGCTATCCTAAGATGACAAACATTGTCCCTTCCCTCTGCAACACTTCCTTCCATCTCTAGTGACTGGTTATCAAGGTGGTTTTGCAGTAGTAGGTTCAGCTTCCTGACTCAGAGGTCCTGGGAACCAGGTTGATTCCAACTGATTAGTTGACTGCTAAACAACAGAATGCTAGCAGGCACCCAATCATGACACTGGCTGCCTTCTCTTAATCTCTGAATATAAGGCGGTATCACTAATTGAAGGTAAAACTAATTCTAGAGACAATTTTCTTAAGAGGAAAAAATAAAACTCATTGAAAATAATGAAGACTACTGCCCCTTAGGTCTTTGCTTATCATTTAAATTCTGTTGCCAGGAAGAACATACCAGCCTTGTGAGGACTGACCACTTCTGGTCTGTAGTGAACACACAGTCTGGGTTTGACTTCATGAAGCTCGTTTAATGCATTGTCCTCTTTTTGCTGAATAATTGCTAGTGTGTAACTGTGCAACCCCACAAACATATCTGAAAGTCCTCTTAGGCCATCAGTAAGAAGAGTTGCAGGAGTTACGTGTTGCCTTTCTTCCCTAATAGTTGCTTCACCCAAGGGATTGCCAGCCTATGATTATGACGATTAATTATACCTGCAATAAACGGTCCTGCTCTTTTTGCCATTTTTCCTGTCGTTTTCGTTCTTCTTCTTGATCCCAAACCCGACGACTAGGAGCGCTAATGGATGGGACTGGGAGCTAATATAGCAAAGAAATGAAATAATATTATCTTCTTCCATGTAGGCAATACTCTACATTTTAAAACATGGTGGTTTGTTTTTTGTTTTTTTTTTCTGAAGTGAGAGAGTGCCAATACAAGCACTACAGCTTTAGTGACGAGGACTTAAATTAGCCTTTTCTTCAAAGGGACAGAAAGCAACAACTTCATTACACATTAGAAAATCTTAGTCAGTGCTCTCAGATTTGATGATAATTTTAAAGCAGAATGAAAAGCAACAGAAAGCAGTGGGCTTCTTGAAAAGACCAGGATCATACAATTAAGTAGCAGTTTGTAAATAGTACTTACATCAGGCATTGCAGGCTCTGGGCCTCCTGTGAGATTTGGAAAACAAAAAACAGAAATCATTAGCACCATATGTACTCACTACTGCAAGACTTGTGTGAACGTGGCAAGTTTGAGCTTCAGAGTAATTTTTGCTTCCTTAGTAAGCCATGCTTGCGTTTTGCCCTATTGAACTTACTTCAAGTCAGAATTCATTAGGTGCTTTCAACTAATGTGTGCAATGGTTTAAAAGCTTTACATGCTAAAAAGTGCCATCAGCAATTGCTTGAATTAGCAGAACATCTACCACTGTGGCAATACAGAGGTTCTTTGCTACACCTCTCCTGTTATTATTCTGAAACCCAACTGTTTAGCATGACCAATACTCAGAATGCTGCTTCAGGGTAGAGCAGCTACTGGGTAGAGCAGCTACTCACCTACTGCCCTTGACATGATTTCAGAGCAATAGACATTCACAGGTGACTTCTCTACCACAAAAAAAAACTATTTCCCTTTCCGACTGTCCTCCTTCCCTAGGAAATTCCACTTGAATTTGGTGAGCTTGTCATCATTCACCAAAAACCTTATGCTATTTGAGGCTCTCATGCTTGGTCTTGCGCCAAGATGATTATTAGAGAGACACATATATTATATGTTAATATATTAAAAGTTGAGAAAATGCGGAGAAGCACAAATTTAATTATAACTCTTTGGAGAAACACAAATTTAAGTATAATCCTTTCCCCAGCATGACCACTATTTTCATTTGTTGCCAGTGTACTTGTTACTTAGCTGTCCAAATTTCAGTTTAAAATAATGCATAGAAACAACAAATTGCAATAGTTTTCTGAAGTATGACCACATGAAGTGGAGAAAAGGTGGAATCTGGGATACAAAAGACATCTAATGTGTCACAGACTAGTGTCCAATCTATATATGCACAATTTTGTCTGTGTAATCAGATCGCGACAGCCAAAGTTACAGTAGGACAAACAGACTTGATCTGCAATTGCGCCAAAAGGAGGCACAGGCAGCACTTATCCTTGCTCCTCTTTTCTCTCACCCTTGTAAGCTTTTTCTGGCCTGTACAGGTTTGGGAAGAAGAATCTCTCATATCATGGTAATGCTAAAGTGTCAAAAGTTTAAATAGAACAAAACCGTGCTGACCGTACACTCTAGAAACATGCTCTTTTCCTCCCTCTCAAGCACAAATGAAATATGTAAAATATTGCTATAAATTTTATCAAAATAAAAACCAAACTTCATAGCCAGCCTCTAAAAAAAATCAAAACAAAAGAAAAATCCCCCAAAACAACCAACACGAGGATACAATGCAGCAGAAATATTTAAAAGCAAACTGAACCACAAACACAGGTTTATGCTGTGGCACTTCACATATCACTTCTGGAAAAAACAGAAGCCACCACCACTGAAGGCAAAGTCCTGGCTCCACTAAAATCACTGGCATTATTCACACTGGACTTCCAGTGGGCCAGAAATTCACTCTTTCAGGCTACAGCAAAACAGCAAGACATACATAGTCTGAAGACAGCATTAGACATACAACATTAGTGGAAGTATGTGAGTTGTGACATGCAAAACACCAAAAAGCAACCTACAAAACCAAAACTGAGTGCCTCAGGTTTTTTTGCCTTTAAAAGCTAGCATATTCAATTCAAATTTTATATTGGTCTTCTTGAGATCTTGCGACACCATCACACAGTGGAAAGCCAGCAGTTGCCGTTTTCCACCAATTTAGACGAAAGCACAGAGCTGCAACTCCAGATAAACTCAAATCCAAAATTTTGTCAACAGCTCTGAGATCCACACTAAGCCTCTGCTAGAATATTCAACATTATTCTTGTTTTGTAGGTAGTAGCAAATCTGAACAGAGTGCTATCCTTCTTACTCCTACCCAGTGGAAAAAAAAAAGCATGAACACAGAAGAACATTTAAACAGCTATAGATACGAGAGAACACGCAAAGACCCATTACCACAAAGGTAGACCCATGAATTGTAAGAATAACCTGACGACCCTGGGGAAAGAAGGGAAATTAATTATGTTGCTTTGTCATAACTGCAACAAACAATGCTGAAGAGGTATAGTACCCAGCACCAGACTTGTTAGGAAGAGTGTGCAGCAGGAACAATTTCATGGAAGTACATGAAATGTTAGCTCTTTGGTTTACCTTGTTCAAAAAATTGTGACCGTCTTTTTAAGTTTTTCAAAGAAATAGGTTCAGATGCTATTTGAAAAATACAAAGAATACAAACAAGTCAATGAGGTGCTCTCTTTTTTTTTTTAGTGACTGTCACCACTGGATAACAAACATTTGTTAGACCTCTAATCTACAGCAACATCACTTCAGAAAAAATAAAAAGCTCCTGAAACACAAAGGAAATCTGTTTTTTCATAGAAACACACACAGTTTTTAGTAGGTTACATCATATACTGATTAGTATTTCACTTTATCACTAACAATGTCCAACAGTACAAGCATCAAGCTTAGACTCAGATTCTCTCTGTCTAATTAAAGCCACTTTGACTGAGATGCCAGCCAAACTGAATTCAGGAGCCTAATCACTGTTTGAAGTCATTAGAAAGGCATCTCCAGAGGGCAACTGATCTCTTGGGGGAACGCTTTTATAAATCGCCATGCGCATTCAAGATAAAATGAAATACGAAGTTCCCATTTAAGGATTACTGTTCCATTAGGAAGTCTATGTACCTGGTTTCTCTCACTGTCATCAAGTAAGGCTATAACTGTTCATAGAATTGTTAAGTAATTACTATTCATACTAGAACCATCAATGTCATTCTCCAGGATTAAAAGTAAAATAATAATAGCAGTGAAACAACCACTACCCCCAAAACCTCACAAACGAAATAGGGAGGAAAAAAAAAAAAGTTGAATACTCTTTACACTCTTCCTGAGTAGTGAAATAAATTGATATTCATACTGACTCAGTCTCCATGCAATTCAGTAGTAATTACAATAAATTGTGTGCCTTCTTCTCTTTCACCCCTACCACACCACTAACGCAGAGATGAGGGAGGTTTGTCACTGCTTTGTTGTCAGTTCTCCAACTGCCTAGCATGTCATGGAAGCAAACTACACCCAATTTGGATGCAACTAGATCTTTGTCATACCTGTCTAGCTTTCAGTTCATTAAAGTCTCACTTCACCCACTATATAAAGCTTGTGATGATTTCAGGTTTAGTGTCTGCGCTTGTTCCAAACCCACACAATTAGTGGATGAAAAGTAACAGTGGTTTACCTCTTTGTTCGTTAGAGCCAAGATCTCCTTGCATTCCATTTATCAACTTTGTTTCTGTATTCTGAAAAAACAAAAAAAAAAATACAGGGCTTAGGTTCATTAGATTTGTGGAAGTTTATCTAATTACACGTCTCTCCTGACAGGAGCTGTATATCATGAAATACTTCAGAACACTTTCCACAGAAAGACACAAAATTATCTGAAACTTCTTGACTGTGTTATACAATAAAATGACTGCAGGCATTGGAGGTGATCAATAACCAGCTGTGAAGTGGTGGCTGAAACAAAAATCAAGAAAATACCAGAAGCTAAGATCTTCCTATCAGCTCCTTGGTAGGCAGTGTTATTTGCAAGTAAGTTGAAAGCATGTATGCACTGCTTCTTTGAGGCTGCAACCTTCATTTATGCTAATAACGGAGGCAAAAGTCTTTTCTAAAGAATAAACACTCTATACATTTTACTTAAAACATGGTCTGCAGTGTCCACTCATGAAAGGACAGTAGCAAGTCTTTAAAGCATCTTATTTACCTCAGTAAGTAAATAGCTAAATCTCCGTATCCTACATGTTCCTTAAGTGATACAAATAAAAATAAGATTTCCAAGGTCTTTTCCCCTTCCTCCCCCTATGAAGACGTCAATATTTTTACTTTCTTCCTCCCCCTCCAAATCCTATAACCCTTCAAAAACATACTCACAGAACTTGGAAGGCTGCTGGAGAAATCTCTTTTTGTTGATATGGTGGAAACATTTGAAACGTGTTCTCCAGAAGTTGCATCAATCCACTTATTTTCAGATGTACCTATAATGTTGGTAGCCATACTGGTGAGATTGAGGACTTTATGCCTTACATGTGGCAGGGAAGGCTGGTCTTTGCCCCAGTCTTTTTGGTATGTGGAGGATCAAGAAATTAATGTAGACAGTAATGTCAAAGAACAGAACAAGAGTTAGTGAAAACACATTAAAATAACACACACAAAAAAACACATAACAGAAGAGAGACAGACACAAATCAGGTGGAATTTGTGAAGACAGGAAAAAGGGCTTTTATGAGCAGACCGCCTTCCCCAAAAATGCAAGTGTTAGTCATAAGCCAGGTAAAAGTTTACCAGATGTTTCGCTAACATGGACTACAGCAGCTCAACATTACAGAGCAATTAGTACTCATTGGAAATTATTTCATTAGCATTAGTAAGGATCGAGAAAATTCTTCCAGTTTTACTCACACAAGGTACAGTTTGACTCATACACTATCCAGAGAAGTGTCATTTTCACATCCGTGCTCCTCAGGAAACACACAGAGGGCAAAAAGAGGCAGTCTACACTAAACTAGCAAAACTGATGAGGTGAAGACAAATCATAATCTTCACTCAAACTCTGTTATTTCTCCCACCAACTCCCTAAAATTTATTTAATGAGTTCTTCTCCACTGATTTCACTCTTCATTTGTGCTAGGCCCATACAAGTTGTGATTTGTTCCCTGTCTCTTCCCACCCTACTATTTTTCCCCCTATCTGCTGGCAACTTATTCTACCTAGCTTCCTACTAAAAGAATGATTTGGTTTTATGATGTGAAAGAAGTCATTGGCCACACTTCCAACTCTGGAAAAATTCTTTCGGGACTTCAAAAGCGTATCCTGACCAAACCCATGGCAAGTCTAGAGATGCTAAAAGCCAAGACGGAAACCTTCACTAGCCAGAATGAACAGTGCCATTCTGGAGAGATTACAGCCATCCCAATATTTGAGTCAATGGTCAAAACCATAGCACAGAAGTGCTACATCAACTGCAAGCTCATATGCCACCCAAAACACTCCCTGAAAAAAGGAACCCAAGATCCACCTTCTCTGACGAAAAGCAGAGCTGCTGACTGAAGGAGAGAGGCTCTAAAAATTGCTATCCTCTAGAAATCAGCCCCTCTTTGGTTTTGTGGCACGGCAGGAAAGGAAACGTTATATTCCCTTGTGTGGTGGTTGCACACCTTTTTACCTGTGCATCCTCTCAGAAACAGGCCAGAGCACAATAGAGAGGTCAGTAGTTCAATGCTTTGCAGACTTGCTTGCCAAGACATTTCTAATGCACGAGTCGTTAAAAAAAAAAGCCAAGTTGTGTTAAAATGCAACAGACATGCCAGCAAACTACTGAGGTACATATAACTGCTGTAAGGGTAATAAGGACTCTCGGCTGTCAGGTACAGCAGAGACAAAGCTTATTTGCCTTACAGAGCATGCTGTATCTGCCTGATGAAACAACTCACCATTCTTTCCATATCGCCTGACATCCATGACCAGGGTTCCAGTTTCTAGTGCTCTGCTGATGGCTTCTTCCCACTGACTGTAGTCCATACGTGAAACTCTAGTGCCGTTGATAGCAATGATCTCATCATCTTCACACAGCTGACAAAGTGCTGCAGGGCTACCTGCAGAATATAGAAGAAAAATAAAATTTTGCCTCCATTCACAAATATTCTTTTACCCCAGTAAAAGAATTTTTTTTTTTTTTTGCACCAACAAAATGCTTATTGATAGATATTCAGAAAAATCTACCGTACTGTGAATATAAGGTCATTAAATTCAGTTAATATCCAAGCAGTGTTTCAGTCTGAAACTCAGGAAGACAACAAGGAATATCAGCCTTTTGGACGTGCAAGCGTTCACATTCAGGCTAGCCAATTTAATAAACAGCCTCTGGGCCCAGCCATGCCTTCACTAACTCAGCTTTATAATTCAGGATAGTGAGAGAGAGGCAGCGTCACATTGTCTGTAGTCAGCTATTAGCTGAAATTCAGCCAATGTTTGGGTAATTCTCTTATTTGCCGGAAAAAAAAAAAGGGGGGGGGGGGGGGCTCCGCTTTGTCAATTTCAGTAGAAGCTGGCTTCCTCATAGTCTTATTTACATTTCTGAGCTCTACTGACAAGAACATGCTGCTTTACTAAAATAGTTTTTTAGCTCTGAATTGATTGGTAATTGGACCCAACGTATTGCTGGGTGCTGTCCCATTAGAATTCTCCGGATTCCACTTATTTTGTCAATTAAAAGCAAATTTTATTGCAGCTTGGACTTTGAATTCTACTGGTATTTTGCAAGACAGGCCGCACTTTATACTCTTTGTCATCTACTACTAAACATTGGCAGGTGATCTCACTAGCCTAAGGACAAAGAACAAAAAGGACCAGTTAATAAACTTTTTTTTCCTATTAATTCAGAAAATGGATGAGCTGAGAAACTCATGCTTCCTTAAGTCAGATTTTATCAATTACCTCTGCATGATTCTTCCATTAAAAATTATTCCTTTAGCAGAAAAGAAAATTAAAAAGCTAAGTGAAAACATAGTTTAAGATTACACAATAAATCCTCACTTTCATAAAATAAATTCGAATTACATAATAGAAGCGTTTTCTGAAATAGTCAAATGCATGTATCTTGTTTAAAATATATCAAGAACAATGTTATATTACATTATCAGAAACAAATGTGGACAAGTAGGACAGAATTTAAACACCGTAAGCTTCATCCTGACCTTCTC